ACCCCCGCCATGAGGTCGGAGCAGGAGGAGAACAAGCCGGGGAGCTGCCGCTGCGAGCAGGGCTCCGCTCCGCGCCCGGCCCATTGTCCCCGCGGGCGGCGAGGGGCGGCCGGCGACGATGCTCAGGGCAGGGCGCTGTGCCCCTGCTTAGCCCACGCAGGTAAGGGGGTGCCCCGGGGGAAGGGGGGGGAGGTCCCCGGGGTGGGGGAGGACACAGCCCGGCGTGCGCGGCTTCCCCTCGCTCGCTTTGTGCTCGGAGCTCGCTTCCTCCTGGGAGAAACAAAACAACGCCCGGGAGCTGCCCGGGGCCGCGGGGAGGTGGCGGGGGGTGGCCGTGCTGTCCCCACGCCCCGTGGCGAGAGAGGGGCGGGGGCGAGGGGCTTCGTGCCCCCGTGGCCGTGGGGAGGGTCGGGGCGGGCGGGTCCCGGTGCCCCGTTGTCCATTTTGTGTCGCGGGGAAGTTGGAGCGAGCCGGGAGCTGGCGGAGGGCTCCCCGCCGGCTGCGGGGGCTGCCGCGGGGGTCTGAGCCCACCGGCCGGTGGTGTCGTGTGGTGTGTGCTTCTGGAAGCCTTTCACAACCCCCAGCCTGGCCCCGAACCCCTGTGCCCCCCCCCCAAAAACCGCTGCCCCCCCCGCCCCTCCTGCCGGCACAGGGGTTTATATGAGGTTTTATTACATCCCACCAGCATGTGGCCAGGGCAGACGAGAGAGTAGGACTCTGTGTGGTGGAAATAATCATTATTTTTGGAGGTGGGGAGTGCCAGGAAACAGGGGGTAACTTGGCAAGCAGGTGGTCTCTGCATGTCCTGCCCCTGTACCGGTTGATGGTGCGTGGTCGGGACTCATGGCCGGGGGTCCTGTCCCGGAGCTGTGACCATTTGGAAGCTGGTGTCTAACTCAGGAAGTGCTCCGAAACCGTGTTTGCAAGGATTTGCTCTCACTGGGTGGAAGCTTTAACCCAAAATTGCTAAGGAGTGCCTGTACCCGTGTCCAGGTGTGACAGCTCGCTCGCTTGCAGCATCACGGCAGCAGCAGGGGGTGGTATTAAAAGCTTCTTTAAAAGTAAAAGATGGATGCGTGGAGCCAAAATCCACGTTTTTAGCCCAAAAAGCTCTGCTGAGCACCCTGGTGCCCATCCAGAAGGGAGCACTGGTGGCCAGCAGCTCCTCTGAAGTCATAGGGGGCATGTCAGTGCTGCAGGAGATGTTACAGGGGATATACCGGGGATGCACAGCAGCAGGACTGTGCTGAAGTGGTGATGGACACATTTCAGGCCCTTGTGCTTATCCCCTTCTCTTCTTAACCTTTTTTTGGGGGGAATTGGGTGCTTACTGTAATTCCTGACCACCCAGGGGAGAAGGAGGCATTGCCTCACTTGGACAAACCCCATCAGTCATTCCAACCCCTTCCAAATCTGCTGCAAGCAGGCAGCAATGAAATTAATGTAATTTAAACATTTCCCAGACTAATTGATGAAAACTACCATTCCCGCCGAAATAATTGGCTGTTAATTATATTTCAGTTGATAGCATTAAACTTCTATGACACTGCTGGATTCTGTATCTTTTATGCTTCAACCACTGATTGGTGTTAACAGACAACGCAAATCAGATTTTTTTGGAGTTTTTGTAATTGTGGTGAACACCTCCAGACGGCATTTGGGGCTGAAGTTTCCACTCCTGCTCCTGCAAATCCCATCTTGGCCTCTTCTGGGCAGCAGATCCACTCTCCGTGCAGCAGCAAAGCTTTTTGCTGGCCTTGGAACAGGCATCACTTTAAAGACATCCATTTAAAAGCCTTTTTTTTCCCCGTGTAACTGAGCTGACACGATTGCTGTACACAGAGGGGACGTATGAAAGATGGATGCAGTACAAACGACAAGGCTCATGTTGGTAAATTACTGTCTCAGGTGAAAGCTGCATTTTGTGCCGCTTTTGTGAGTTTACCAGCGAGATGGTTTTTGCTTTGCTGGGCATGAATCAAGGGGGTGATTTTATCCAGGATGTCAGCAGGATAAATATGCATCTACATACACCTCTGTCCTGAAACGGGAAACAGAAGGTTTGTAAAGAACATTATTAGCAGAAAATAAGGATTAAAGACCTAGAGATGAGTTGAGTTTGTATTTTAAAGAACATCTCTGATTGTTAAGTAGCTCCCCAGTTTGGGACCCCCCTCTTGCAAAAGTGCAGTAAGGTGGAAAGAGACTTCTGACAAGGACATGGAGTGACAGGACAAGGGGGAATGGCTTCACACTGAGAGAGGGAAGGGTTAGATGGGATATTGGGGAGAAATTCCTCCCTGGGAGGGTGGGGAGGCCCTGGCACAGGTTGCCCAGACAAGCTGTGGCTGCCCCTGGATCCCTGGAAGTGTCCAAGGCCAGGTTGGACAGGGCTTGGAGCAACCTGGTCTGGTGGAAGGTGTCCCTGCCCAAGGCAGGGGGTGGAACTGGATGATCTTTAAGGTCCCTTCCAACCCAAACCATTCTGGGATTCTGTGACATTGGTAGCAGCCCTGGGAGGGAGTTAAAAAGAGGAACTTTCCTTTCAAGCCTTGGCTGCATGGATTGTACTTTCCAATTTTATATATAATGTAAAGATATATATATTCAAAACTGATTTGGCTTTGCCATATAAATAATAATACATATATATCAAATATAACTATATGTTGCAAAGCATAATCCATTTTTGTACAGATATGTATATCTCAAATTATATCTTTAAAAAAGTAAGAATTTAGGATATATGGCTGATCCCAGGTTCAATAATTCGTGTTCTCCATAGATTGTGGCTTGCAGCTGGTGGCATGGGGAGCGTGGTGCCTCATGCTCCTCTCCAGATTGCATTTACAGCTTCCCACAGGTCTTGGATTCTAATCCTTCAGCAGTTTCTACTGGGAGTGGGAGCTGAGCATGAAGTTGGGGACAAAATTCCCTTGTTGCCTGCTTTGGAGGATGGATGCTTTGGGGTTTCTTCACTATTTTCTAACTGGGAGCAGAGGGGAATGGTGCAGTTTTGGCAGACTGCTCTGTATAGTGTGTTACAACAAGGAGTTTTGGGGCCCAAGGACCCCTCTGGGAGTCTCTGCTGCAGAATTCCCCCCCTGGACTACCTGCTCCTGGTCTTGTTTCCCCTCTCCCTTCCTGAGAGGGGTCTGTGTCATGTGGGGATTTTCTTGATTCCCACCAAAATGCTGCAATTTCCAGGAATCCATTGGGATCAGTGCAAGCTGCCCTGCCCCATCCTCCTATGCTGGTTAATTTTTTCCTGGGAATACCCCTGGCATGTAAGGAAAGGTGAAAATGAGTTACCAGTGGGGGAAAAAAATGAGCAATTTGTTGCAGCCAGGGGTGTTTTATGGGACTTTCTGTGGCCAGGGAAGGCACAGGGTGAGTTTTACACAGTAAATGTTCCACCGTGTACGAGCCCTTCACATCCTCTCCGGGTTCCCAGAGGCTGGAGGGGACATTTCTGCCATCCCTGGAGAAGATCCTGTTGGCCTTGGCCGCCTCTTGTTCTTGCTGTTTTGCACGGACTTCAAGAAAGCACTTTGGGCTGCACCAAACCCCCCGTCCTGGGGCTCGACTGTTCCTCGTTAGTGACTTTATTGCTGAATAATTTACAGAATGGGGCCTTGCCAGTTTTCATTCGGGAAGCATTTCAAGTATGTGAAGCAGATTTTATGCCTTCCTGGCGCAGCTGCCGGGGAGGAGCTGCCTCTCCCTGTCCTGCCGCCGGCGTCACCTCCCGGCCTCGCTCCGCAAGCGGTGCCGGAAGGGAAGCGGGCAGCACGTGCAGAGGGACCCCAGAAAAAATAAGGGTAATAAACCCCGATATTCCATGCCCAGTTGGTGTCCCCTGGGCTGGCTGCTACACAGGGACACTGGGGACAGGACCCAGTTGTGGTAGCTTGGAGAGGGGTGTGTGGTCTTAATTTTTATTTAATATTTCTTGTAACTGTGGAGCGTGTGTTGAGGTGGGTATTTTCTCCTCCCCGTGTCCATGGGTGCGATGCAAACCTGAGAGAATGTGGGTGTCCCATCCCTGTAAGTGTTCAAGGCCGGGTTGGACGGGGCTTGGAGCAACCTGGTCTAGTGGAAGGTGTCCCTGCCCATAGCAGGAGGGTTGGACATGCTTGTCTTTAAGATCCCTTCCAAACCAAACCATTCTGTGATTCTGTGAAATCAATAAGCTACTTTGGGATAAGTAAGGGCTTTTCTCTGCTTGTTTTTTAAAGGAAAAGGAAAGCAAACCAAACTCTGGAGGCTGGAGGATTGCAGTGGTGCACACACAGCCCCAAAGTGTTTTGCAGGATGAGGGCGATGGGTGCAATGTAGAAATGGCATTATTATTATTATTACATTAAACAGTGGATGTGGCTGTAGGAAAAGACGTGTCTGGAGCTTTCCTCCAGCGCCTGTTGTGGAGGGGATCCAGGCTGGGATCTGCTGGGATGCTCCTGCAATGCAGCTGCTTGGAGGAGTGAGCAGTCACTGGGTGTAAATCTGCAAAATTCAGGGTTCAGGTCTGCATGTGGAAGTGTCGTCTTCCCTTTTCCTGTCTCATAGTGGGTTTGTTGGGTTTTGTTGAGTGTGCCCTGAGCACGTGGGTGGCAGAGCTGAGGTGTGTGGGACTTACTGGAGCTCAGGAGGCTCTATTGGATCCCAGCCACGTGAGCACCTTGTCAGTGAGTGCTTTGTTTGGGAAAGTGCTTCTTTGTTTATTATTCTTATATTAACATTTATTTTTAATTTTTTAATGCAAAAGCAGCACCCAGCGGAGACTTCCCCCTCCTTCCCGGCGCCTTCCCGTGTCATCCCTCACCCTCCTCCTCTGTTCCCAGAATAACTCAGGGTTTGGGCTCTGTGCAGGGCAGTTTTGCCGGCGGGGAGGGGTCACCCCAGCGGCATTTCCCTGGGGTTTGAGTTTCCAGCGGGGGCGCGGGGCTGTGCCGGGAGCCGTCACTCACTTCCTCGCATTGTGTCTCCTCTTCCTCCAGCGCTGCTGCGGGAGGAGGTGGCCCAGCTGCAGGAGGAGGTCCACCTGCTCCGGCAAATGAAGGAAATGCTGACCAAGGACCTGGAGGAGACGCACGGCAGCAAGTCCCCGGAGGTGCTCTCGGCCACCGAGCTGAAGGTGCAGCTGGCGCAGAAGGAGCAGGAGCTGGCACGGGCCAAGGAGGCTCTGCAGGGTAAGGCTGCCCCTCCTTCTTCTCCTGCACCTCTCCCCAGCACCCTAAACTTTCAAAGAGTTGTTTGATGAGGGAGGGGAAAGCCATCCTTTTCATTTGGGCCGTGCAGAGTGTGCTCACCATGTGCATGTTGGGGGGGGGGGGGTTTGGTCTCCCTGGGACCCCCTGGTCTCCTGCCCCTGCAAGGGGGGACGTGGGGCCAAGAGGGACTGGGGTGCAGTGATGGGCTGGGAAATGGGGTGTGGGGGCTGTTTGCAGCATTGCAAAGGAATTCCTTCACAGCTGTAGAGTAGAGCCAAGGCAGCAGCTGAAATGCAGCTGGAGGTGGGGGTGGATTGGATTTGAGCCCCTCAGACTTGTTAGGGAAGCAGTGACTGCAATTTTCCTTATCCCGTGTGGAGTTACCTCCAGGTGATGTGCAGGGTCTCCTCCTTCCCTCATGCCTGGTTTGGATGTTTTTGTGGCAGTCAGGGCCATGCTCTCCCTCCCTCACCAGCACAGCAAGCCCCGGGACTGGGCCGTGCAGAGCAAAACGCAACATTGCAGCTTTTCCACCCCAAAAACGAGCTGACAATAAATCCGGGCAGGATGGTTTGTTAGCTGGAGCCGGGGGATGATCCTGAGCAGGGAAAGCTCTCACACGTCAAACCCTGGCAGCGCCGCGGCTCTAAATATCATCTCAAATCCCCAACATACCGAGTATAACTTGCACTTGTCAGCTCGTGTTTGCGGATTATGAGGAGAAGCTGTCAGAAGTTTTCAGGCTCAGAGGCTGAGCAGCACGTGGGGAGCTCAGGGGGCCACCACATCTCCCCCTGTCCGGGATGCCGAGATGCTCGGAAAGGCAGGGAATTGGGCTGAGTCAGTGTTTGGGGAAGGGAGTTCAGAAGATTTTATGTGATCGCTGTCTGATTTACAAAAGCATCCCCATGTATCAGTAGCAGCCAAAATACCTTCAAAATCCTGCCTCCCCCGATGCCACCGGTGCAGCCTCCGGCAGCAGGAAATGCTCTGGGTTTATAGAACTGTAATTGGAGGAGAAAAACCTTAATTAGGGAATATTTGCTCTCTGTGTGTGGAAGGGGAACTGCTGATTAATGCAAAATGCAGAAAAGCAGAACTATTGTAATACCTGAGCAAAAAGAAATAAGAGCAAGAAGTCATCTAAGAAGCTCCGGTGAGGTCATACAAGCTTCTGTGGAGGAGAAAAAGTTAATTTGGCTTGAAAATCGTGATTATTTAAATAATGATATAAATATTTAAATAATATAATGTTGGTTTTTTTATTGGGCTTTTATTTGCCACAGTTGGAGGCCTTGGGGTTGGTTTTCCAGGACTTCTCTGCAGGTGTGGTGCCTAGAGAGAGGGAATGTCAGTTGGCACTTGGAAAGGCACATTGCATGAAGCCTTTTTCAATCGATGCTTCTTCCCTCCTCTGCAATATTGGGAGGCTTTTGAGTCATTTGGAAAAGCTGGCTGGGCTGGATCTGGGCTGGAGGCGCTGGGCAGCAGAGCAGGTTTGGCACGGTGACTGAGACGGATAAAATGAAAACGGGATCAGCAGCTGGAGGGGGGGAAAAAGTCCTTTTTCCTTTCCATGAAAAATTGTCTGTAGAGAAATGTAGCCAAAAGGGGAGGAAAACCAGCGCCTGGTGACTGGTTCTGCCAGGAGAAATGCATCTGCTGATGGACACACTGAGGAAGTGGTGGCTCTGTGTTAAGGAACTGCGGGATAAACCACAGCCAGGAGCGCAGGGAAACTTGGCCGTGCTGTCCTGTAGTTCAGGAATCTGTGACAGTCGTGTTCTGCAGGCAGAAAGCACCTCCCAAGAGCAGCTTCCTGCTCACAGCCTGCATTCCTGCCTCCCTGCATCCCTACACAGCCCCGTGTCCAGCAGCATCGGCCACACCATCCCTGTGCCTGCAGCGTCCCGCCATCCACGCTGGGTCCTGTGGAATGTCATTAGCAGATAAATTATATGGAAAGCTGTCATCGTTGCTGGCTCGGAGCCTGGAAGTGCAGCGCAGCTGGTTCAGATGGATCTTGGCTCGCTGGGCCGTGCTGCGGAGGGTAGCGGAGAGGGTTTGCCAGCGGGGTTTGCTTTTGGGGGCTGCAGCACCTTTTAAGAGCCTTTATTTTGCAGGGCCTCACAGGGTTTGGTTTGTGTTGGTTTAGGTGGAGGGTCCCCCTTTGGAGGTGTGTTCCCAGCCCTTTCCAACAGCATTTGGCACAGGGATAGAGCTGATCAGACCGTGCAGCATCTTCCCTGTGCCGTGCTACCAGGGAGCAGGGATCTGGCCCAACACAGGATGCTCTGCAGGATTAACTCGACCAGTTTCTGTATCCCTGGCAGCATGTGCTTTATCCATCATTATTCCACTTTTTCCTAGGCTAATTCCAGCCCTTGCACTTTTTTTAAAATCAATTAACATCTAATTAAAATTCCATAGTGCTACATCCTATGTCCCTCTCCGCCTTTGCCAGGACTGGGACTCTGAATCGTGCTTCCAGCATCAATGTAGTTATTATTATTTCCCCAGCCCTGGCTGGAAAGTTATGGATGTGGTCTGGATTTGTGATGTGGGAATCCCCAAAGGGAGAAGTTGCAGACAGCTTTATTACTGCTGGTCCTGCTGTGGGCAGGGACGGTGCCCGAGCGCCTGGGGGGCTCGAGGAGCCTCTTGGCCAGGTGACATCCATGAGCATGTGGGCTAATGGCAGAAACCCCATTTCTGGGAAGGTTTATCCCATATGCTGGAACTCGCCTGCAGGATTATCATGCGGAGAGCAAACCTGGTTTCTGTTTCCTTTCTGAGTGCCAAAGTGGAAACCTCAGGCTACCTTTCCCTGCTGCTCGGGAAGGTGTGAACTGACTTTGTGTCTGCTCCACAAATGGGTTGTAGCCTGGTCTCCTCCCTCCCAAACCCGCATCTTGGAGCTGTGACCTTCCCAGGGGTGGTGTTTGGGCTGGGAAGAACCTCCTGGGGAAACTCACAGCACCCTCAGATTGCTGCAGTGATGGGGTGGGTAGCAGAGAAATGGGTGGATGGGTGTCCCCAGAAGATGAATGTCCTGGAAGACGGGTGTCCCAGAGAATGGATGTTCTGACAGATGGATGTTCCAGCCATGGACCCAAGCAGGGAAGCCTTTTCCATCATAAGGACATGGAGCTCTGTACAGAAAACCTGTTGTTCACTTTTGAAGACCCACCTTAAATTTTCAGAAGTCATTGGGGTCAGGTTTGGAAAGCCCTTGGCCTCGTAGGAGGGTGTTTCCAGGTAAATTCCCCCAAGGTGAAGCACCTCTCCTAACTTTTTCCTGAAATTTGACTTTGGACTCTAATTTCCTGCCTGCTCCATGCCTCTGCACCCCCAGGAGTGAGTGCTGGCTCTGCCTGACACCACGTAACATTGACATCTTCAACGTCAAGATCTTCCTGATGTGACGGCTGCACCCGGGGAGCGAACGCGCCGATTTAATTACAAAGCAAGGAACAGCTCTGAGATCCCTGCACAGGGCTGACCGATTTTATGGGTTAGTCATGGTGACAATATTGAATTTCATGGTTGGGAGGGAGAAACAGGAGAAATTAAGTAAATGTTAATGGGACAGGATGGGTTTACACGTTCCTGTTGCGCGGGGCATCGCTGAGGTCTGAGCGGTGCTCCCTGAGGATGCCCTTTGCTGCGTTAGAAAATTCAGGGTATGATTCAGTAAGTGATAAAGGAAGCTCTGATTCTGTTCCTGGCATGAAAATTCACATTGTATGGGGTGAGAGAATGGCTTGGAAGTGGATGGGAGTCATGGGAAGCTGCTCTTTGGAGAGTCAAAGGCAGGCTGCATCTGCTGCCAGTGCCCTGATGTGTGTTTGGGCTCTGCTGACTCATTCCAGGAGCGTGAAGAGATGATGTTTCTATGTTTTTCATCTAATATCATCTTATCAAGGTAATAAAACTAATTATTATGTCCTCCAAAAGCTCATCTGGATGGTGTGGCCACCATCACCTGACATGGCCAGGAGTTGGACAGGAGTGATCCGTGTGGGTCCCTTCCCACTCAGGATATTCTATAATTTATTTTCCCTTAATTTGATATTATTCATTTCAAAGGGGAGGGGTGGTATTTATAGCAGCCCCCATCCTGAGGGAAGGTGCCTGGTTTTAGGATGCAGGAGCTAATTCCCAGCTGGATGTTGTTACATGGTGATGCCAGACTGGGACCTCATAGTAGTAGCAACCATCAGTGGTGGCATCACTGGGTGGTTCCATCCGTGCTGCTGCCTCAGACAAGGCTGTGCTGCTCCTGTGGAGCAGCTGGATTTTGGCTCATCGTGTAGAGCTGGAAATAAAAGGCACTGGGGGGGTGGATTTTTAATTGTTTTGGCAGCAGGAAGAGCCCAGCGCGGAGCTGGTCCCGTTACGTCTCTCTGTCCATCATCCTTCTCCCAGAGGACCAGTGCTCAGGGGATGGATCATGTGGCAGGTGGTGGAAGCTCAAATAACACAGGATGACTTGTGCAGGTGGGGATGGGGGGGTGGAGTGAGAGCTGGGGGGTTCACCCAACCCATCTCCCCCATCCCTTGCTGCCGAGGCTGGTGCTGAGCTGCCGAGTCCAGAAGGGGCTGGTGGGTCCCCCCCTCTCCTTCTGCCACGTGCCTTGGGTAGGAGGGGAAAATAAATAATGCAAATAAGAGAATTACTTTCCACTCATGGTCTGGGTTTAGGATTTCTTGCTTCTTGTCTTAGGAACAGGTCGGAGGTTTGGCCAGAGCCCCCCGCGCCGATGAGCTGGGCGAGAGTTTATTTGGATATTCGTGGAGGGGTTGGGATATAGAAAAGCTCGCCCTGGATCATCAGATTAAAGGAAAAAGCCATTTCACCTCCTTGGATGGCCCAGATAGCCAGTGAAAATCTGCTTTATTCCTCCTTGGCTGGCCCTGCCGTCGCGCCGTGGATTGCAAAGGCTCGTTTTCCCCGACCGAGTAATTAGCTGGGCTTGTTTGCTGAGGAGGAATTAAGCTGCTGCAGCGAGTGGGGTTTGGTCCAGGAGCTCCTGGCAGCCCTCGTGGCTCACTTCTGCCTCACTTTTTATTTTTCTCCTGCCTTTTTCAATTAATTTCCCATTAATTTGGTTTGGAATGAAGTTCTCAAATGACTGATAAATCTTCTTTAAGCTTAGGAGCTAATCGGTTTTGGAGGAGGGAGAGTAATAGAGGGGAGGAAAAAAAAGTGTGTTAATTTTAGCAAATCTCTCAAATACGAACTGAAACAAATGGTAAATTGTCCTGTTGGGTTAACAGAAAAAAATCTACTCTTGCAATACCCAAACTTCATAATCTTCTTGCAGTACTGATGCATTGGCATAAATATTGGTAAATATTAGTAAATTGATATATATGCAACCTTGGGAGATAGTTACCCTTCTCCTAATAGTACTTATGAGCATCTTTATTTTTTTATGGGTGAGTGATGAAGTGTTTTCTATAAATCTTTAAAGGCCCTGAATGCTTCCACTAATTAAAGGAATTTGTATGCTGTGGGGGACTCACTATTTAATTAAATTCGTTAGGAGTCTTTTGTCACCTCCAGCATCAAAGAGTGGCAAATGTGACTTAAACTTTTATAAGAGCCTCTCATTATCCTTGAGGAAATTAAATATATGTGAATATGTGTCTGTGGGGTCTGGATCTCACCCCGGTATGGCTCAGTCAACTTATCATTAATTTTTCTTTTTCAGCAAGTTTTTAGTTCCAGTCAAAGAACTGGGCAGAGGAAGGTTGTGGTTAAATACACACAGGCAGCAGGAAAGGGCTTTTTCAAAGGCTTAGATGTGGTTGTGATTGTTTTTAGAGGGTTTCTGTAGTGATTTCTTAAGCTGGGAAAAAAAGTAAGGGAAGTCCCGGTGTCAGAAGGGGCTGAGTTGTCCCAGGAGGAGCTGTGTTCATTGAAGTGAGTGAAGAAGACTCCCAAGAGCTCCCTGTTATGGGACAATGTGAATTTTTGTGGCATTTCCTACCTAGTTTTCTGTTTTTCTGTGTTTTGGTTTACCTCTGATGCTTAATGGCAGAGTAGGTTGTCTGATGAGTTTCGTCTCTTGGTTTTTAACAGATAAAAATCTCTGTTGTCCCAGACATCTCCCTCTTCTTCCACTATTTAGTCTGATTTAATAATTTTTCCCACCTTTTTATCCTCTGATCTGTAAGCCCTCTCCCTTCCTCATGGTTCCATCCTGAGCACTTCCTTTATCCTCAGCACACACTTACAGTAAAAAACAGTAAAAAAGTAGAATAAAACCAGTGCACAGAAAAAAGTTCCTACCTGAGTAAAGCTCTCTTTGAGCTGGTGATTTTGACAAGCTGGGGTGGGATGCAGGAGGTGCACAGAGCTGGGTGAGTGGAGGGGCTGCTCTTATTTTGGGGGCTATTCCAGCATATTTCAGGGCTGGGTGATCAGTGTTATCGGGTTATTCTGCCTGAGGGTGCCTGGGGGCTGCAGTGCACGTCTGGTAATGATGCTTTCCCTGCTTGCACACAGGTGGAAATGACTTATTGAGGGTCCCCAAGCAGAGGAGGGTGGGAGCAGAACATCCCTGTGCTGGGACGAGGCAGAGGCACCAAACCAAGGGTGCCAAAGGTGCCTGAGCCAAATTAATCCCTTTGAAGCATGACACGGTTGTGCTTTCCTTGTATTTCGTGTATATTGTCTTTATCCCACACGTGCCTCACCAGGGGAGCCACGCTGTGCTGTAGTTTAAGCCCCCAGTGAAGTGACTCATTGCAGGGTGTAGAAAACACAGCGTGGGCTGAAACACCCACCATGGATTCCTGTAATCTAATGGAAAAAGATGGGATGTGTGCACGGAGACAGGTCCCACTTGTGATGCTGCATCATCTTGTAGTGGGTTTTGTAGTACAAGCAGCTCCTGGAGCTTCGGGGCTGGTTTTTCTGGTGAGTTCAAGGGGGTTTAGGATATTTTTTTTTATTACAGAGGGACAACTTGCAAGACTCAGCTGATGACAGTGAGTGCAGGAAGTGTTGGAGGGGCAGATCGTGTTTCATACCATCCTGCTCCCTTAGGAACAGCACTTCCTCAGGGTTGAAAAGCTTGATTGTATAATAAAAAGCAATATTTGTATTCTGATTCCTAAACTGGGTATTATTTTGATGGGGGTGGGGTGTATCTGGAGCAGGGAGCTACAGGGCATTTCTGCAGTGCTGCCAAGGACCAAGTTCAAGGTTGGGTAAAGCATTAATGTACAGAAATGACTGAAATTCCTTCTCCTGCCTCGTATTTCTGTAATTCCCCCTGGATTACCAGCCTTTCACTGCTGTCCCGGTGTCGGTGCTCAGCGAGCATCCCTCGCTGGTGACTGGGACAGGGAAAACAGGAAGGTTTTGGGTTCCTCTCAGTGCTGTTGAAACACCCCATTGCATCCTGTGGTGCTCCTGCTCTCCCCTCATCCCAACACAGCATCACTGAGCTGGAAGGGGACGCTCGGGGAGCCGTGCCCTGGGCTCGTGGGAGCGCTGCCGGAACCCGCCCCGCAGCTAAAAATAAATGGGCTGTGGTTTATTTATCCTGGAAAGGGAGCAGCAGGTTTTCCTGTGCCGGGCCCTGAGGCTGAGGCAGCAGTTTTGCTCCAGAATCTCCTTTTCCAGGGGGGCTGAGCTGCCCCTTGGAGGGGGGGTCGATGATGAGGAGCCGTGGTGGCGACACGATGGGTGTTTTGAGGCTGCAGCAATTGGGGCGAATTAGGTGTCTTCTCCCAGCCCAGCCCCTGGGATCGTACTTCTGGTACTTTTTGCCTCAAAAAAATAAAAGATGTGGAAGCAAGAGGCTGCTGTGCCCTCCATGCTCAGTCCATCCTCTCTCCCACAGCCATGAAAGCCGACCGCAAGCGCTTGAAGGGGGAGAAGACAGACCTGGTGAGCCAGATGCAGCAGCTGTACGCCACGCTGGAGAGCCGGGAGGAGCAGCTCCGGGACTTCATCCGGAACTACGAGCAGCACAGGAAAGTGAGTGTGGGAGCCCAGCACCGTGGTCTCGTGGCACAGGGGGCTGGCAGGGAGTTGAGTGTGAAACCTGGTTTGTAATCAGGCCAAAACCCTCTAAAATCCCAGCTGGACCACGGCAGGTTAAGCCTGAGATTAGCTCAGTTTAGTTGGAGCTCAGTGCTAGTAATGCCAAGGTTGTGGGTTTGATCCCAGTATGACCTTAAGAGTTGGACTCAATGATCCTTGTGGGTCCCTTCCAACTCAGAATACTCTGTGATTCTGTGAAATACTAGAGGGAGTCAAGCCAGACATGCGAAATCCCGTGTAATTTTAACAAGGTGCTCAGTGAGCATTGCTTTTTGGGAGACTGGCTGCATCCTGGAGCTCCCCAAAAAGGGATGTCATCCCTGCCAGCACGGGGCTCTTGTGACCCCAAAGGTACCGCTCACGGTTGGGTGGTCCCTGAGAGAGTCATTGCAGAGGAGTTTGTATGAGCACGGGCTTGTATTAGCACATGGATTTTCCCTTCCTGATGGCCACCCCGTGTCCTGGCAGGAGAGCGAGGACGCAGTGAAGGCCCTGGCGAAGGAGAAGGACCTCCTGGAGCGGGAGAAGTGGGAGCTGCGGCGACAAGCCAAGGAGGCGACGGACCACGCCAGTGCCCTCCGCTCCCAGCTCGACCTGAAAGACAACCGCATGAAGGAGCTGGAGGCCGAGCTGGCCATGGTGAGCTGGGGGACTGATACAAACCTGAGGGGTTGCTGCAGTGGCTGCATTATTGGAATACTGGGGAGGAAAAAATTCCATCGCTAGAAAGGAGCTTGACCTCACCTTGAGTCCCTCACCTCGAGTCCCTCACCTTGAGTCCCTCCCCTTGACTCCCTCACCTTGAGTTCTGTGTGCAGCTTTGGGCACCCACAGCATAGAAAAGACATTACTAGATAGCATCTAAAGGAGAGCCAGAAGGATGGGGAAGGGTTCAGAGGGGAAGCCTTATGGGGAACTGCTGAGGGCAGTTGGTTTGTTCAGCCTGGAGAGGGGGAGACTGAGGGGAGACATCACTGTGGTCTTCAGCATCCTCCTGAGGGGCAGTGCAGGTGCAGGTACCCATCTCTTCACTTTTGTGACCAGTGACAGGACTTGAAATGGCTGGAGTTGAGTTGGGGGAGGTTTAGGTTGGATATCAGGAAAATGTTTTTCACCCAGAGGGTGGCTGAGCACGGAAACAGGCTCCTCAGGGAAGTGATCACAGCACCAGGACTGTCTGAGTTCAAGAAGTGTTTGGACAACGCTCTCAGGCACGTGGTGGGATTGTTGGGGTGTCCTACACAGAGCCAGGAGTTGGACTCAATGATCCTGATGCATCCCTTCCAACTCAGCATATTCTGTGATTCCATGATCCTTAGCACAGGTTGCAGCACAGTTTGGGTATTTACTTGCCCAGGGGTGGGTGGGTTTGGTGCAATGTGTTGCCCCAGGAGATGTTCATATGGTTTTCCTGCTCCATCACCATCACCTTGGTGTCCTCCCCCAGGCCAAGCAATCCCTGGCCACGCTGACCAAGGACGTCCCCAAGCGCCATTCCTTGGCCATGCCGGGCGAGACGGTGCTGAACGGGAACCAGGAGTGGGTGATGCAGGCTGACCTCCCGCTGACCGCCGCCATCCGGCAGAGCCAGCAGACCCTCTACCACTCACACCCCCAGCACTCGGCAGACCGGCAAGGTGGGCACCCACTGGCTCAGGGCACGGGCAGGTCCTTATTGCCAGACCCCCTTGCGGGGAGGAAAAAATGCGCAAACCCCTCCCTAAATAGTTTTTTAGACGTGAATTAGAGGCTCTGCCGGGTTTGCTGGCGTAATTTTAACTCCCCGTGTCCCTCCCTGCCTTCCAGCGGTCAGAGTGAGCCCCTGCCACTCCCGGCAGCCGTCCATCATCTCCGACGCCTCCGCGGCCGAGGGCGACCGGTCGTCCACGCCAAGCGACATCAACTCCCCCCGGCATCGAACACACTCGCTCTGCAACGTAAGGCGCTGTGGGGTGAGGGGCTTGCTGCCCCAGGAACGGGCTCTGGGGATTCTGCGGGTCCTCCGCTTCCCAAAACAACGTTGGGTTTGGGGTGTGGGGCAACCTGGAGCTTTGCTGACCCGGAAAGCTGCTTTCCTGGGGTTTTATCCAAGCCCATTTCAGCTGCCCAAAGAAGCTGCTTTTTGCCGTGGAGGTGGGAGGTCTTGGGCTGTGTTGGGGCTGATCCAATGGATCCATCTCTTTCTGCCACAGGGGGACAGTCCTGGACCGGTACAGAAGAACTTGCACAACCCAATCGTACAGGTAGGGCACAAATCCTCTCAAATCCTGCTGGTGAGAACCCCTCCTGTGCTAGAAAATACTTTGGGAGGGCTCAGAGGCACCACTTTGGGGTCTTTCAAAAAATGAATTGAAGTCATCTTGAATTGTGAGTCTTTGATGTGTCAGATTCCTACAATTTGCCCAAAAATCCATGTAATGCCTTAGGCATTTGCTGTGCTCAGGGCCCTTTGGGGTCTTGATTTTTGTAAGGCACAGGCAAAGCAGGTTATTCTTCTGGTTTTGACCCTAAACCCTTGGGATATTTTTTCAAGCTGTGGGCAGACCCTTGTTCTGACCTATTCCTGGAGCCAAAATCCTGAACCAGTTGAGTTAAGCCAAAATCCCAGAAATGGGGGCGGGGAGGGGAGGATCTGTTCCAATTTTGCTGCAAATTCCACCAGACAAATTTCAGGAATATAATTTTATTTCGGTCCAGCACCTTAACATTGCTCTGGACCCGGACACAAATATTTTTTTGGATCTGGATGCAAATACTTTTTGGGACCTGGACTCAAATATTATTTGGAGCTGGGACCGTGTGGTCCATCATCCCCGATGTGAGTGGGTGGGGAGGGGTGAAGGAAGAGCTGGATACCCAAACCCGTGTCCTCTCCTCTCACAGTCTCTAGAGGACCTGGAAGACCAAAAACGGAAAAAGAAGAAAGAGAAGATGGGCTTTGGCTCCATCTCCAGGGTGTTTGCCCGGGGAAAGCAGCGCAAGTCCCTCGACCCGGGGCTGTTCGACGGGACGGCCCCCGACTACTACATCGAGGAGGACGCGGACTGGTGACCCCCCGTGCTGGGAGGGTGCCACTGTACATATCCCCCACCTGTGGACGTGTTACCTGTTGTCTTGGGAGCGATGCAGCTGTGTCGTAACTTCAGTTTTCCCCCTTTTTTTTTTTTCCCGTGTTTTTTCATTCTTTTTCCCATTCGGTAACTCCTTTTGTTGTCGCTTCAGTTTGTCAGTTTTGGGGCTGTTTTTTGTTTTTGTTTTGGGTTCGGTGGTTTTTATTTTTGTTGTTGTTCTTCTTCTTTTTCTCTTCTTCTTTTGACAAAACTTGAAACTTGAAGGACTGCTGTGTCTCTGTAAATACCAGAAATATTGTGCACTTTGTGCTTGTGACGTCTCTTGTCCGAAACCCGCTGTTTTCCGGAGCCCAGCCCGCGGGATGTCCTCGCCTGGGGACGAAGGACCTGCCCAGCTGAGGGACCTTAGAGGGAAAACACACAAAAACAACGACAACAACAACAACAAAAGATCTCCTTCGCTGTGATGTCTTCCTGGCCGAGCACCCGGGCTGGTTCTAACGCCTGCCGGTCTGGAAATAAGTGTTTTAACGTTCCTTTTTAGTTGTTTTAATTTATTTGCACAAACCCAGAGGAGCTATTCTAACTAAATTATTGCAGAAGTTTTGGGATTTTTATATTTTTCCACGTCGGTTGGGATGGGGTGGGAGGAGGAAGGGGGTGTTTGTACTGTATTGTCCTGGGAAGCTGCTGTTGGGGAGGGGAAGGGGGGAACTGGGGGGTGTCGGAGCCGTGGAACCCCCCACCCTGGGCTCCCTCGGCTGCCCCAGGAGCACTTAAACGCCTTGGAAAACGCAAACCTAAAATACGTGCCGGGAAATCCGACGGGGGGGAAGCTGGTGGGAGCTTTGCCTGCTGTTTTTCCCTGCTTTTGGGGGGCTCACCCTTTGCTTCAAGTAAAATTTAGGGGGATCCGGCATGAGCTGGGAGCAGGGGAAAGGTGATATCCCGAGGTATCCCTTATCCCAAGACGTTTCCCAGACAGGGCCGGCCACCCCGCTCCAGTTTGGGATGTTACCGCCGCCATGGGGGGGGGGGTGGGCACGGGGAAATCGGTACGAATTCCTGCCGGGGAGGTTTTTCTGGCCCTGGGGTGATTTTGAAGCACGAGTGGAGCTTGTGCTTCCAAAAAAATCCCTTGGAAATGCCCCGAAACCACCTCCCCCAGCGCGGCGGCCGCTTCCCCCCTCCACTAACACGCGCCGCGCTCTGCTTATGCCAAGATAAGTACCTTATGCTTTAATGCTTATGATATAATTTTAAGCTCTTAAAAAAAAAAAAGTATTAAGATTTATTTAATGAACTATAATAGTGTATTATTTTTCTTAATTCCGATACGCGCGCCCTGGTTGAGATAAAAAAGGGTGTTTTGTCTTAAATCACCGATGCCCTCGCGCTGTGTATTCCTGCTCATGGGATGATGCAGAGAGGCCATGGAGGGGGTGTCAGAGGGACCAGCCCCCCCAGGCTCTCCTGGGGTGGCAGGGCAGGCTTTGTCCCGTGGCATCTTTTCTCTGCAGAGAAGCATTTTTATACATTTTGTTGTTTTTTTGGGGGGGTTTTTTGTTCTGTTGGTTTTTTGTTTGGTTGGTTTTTTTTTTTTTTGTTTTCCTTGCGTTTTTATAATTTAAACTCTAAACCACCAGAAGAGATGAGCAATCTCCTTGTTACCGAGTAGTTTCCTTTGCATTTCAGCTTTTTTGTAAATTAGGAAATAATTCTAAAAATTACTAAGAGGATGATTTATTTAAAAGAGAACTTCGCTAAATAGCATATGGATTATGGGTAACATTAGATTTAACTTTTCCCCCCGTGAGCGGGGGAGAATCCTTGAAGGCATGGATGCAAATATAAAATTATAAAAGATCTAAATAAAGCTTATTTTAAAGTACAGATGAACTCCACGTGGTTTTGTTGCTTGGCAGATGGAGAGCCTGGGCTGGTGTTGGCATTGGGGTGCAGGACACCCTGACTGCCACATGAATTTGGGGGGCTCCAGGGTGATGGGGGAATGCAGGAGAAGCTGGACCAGCTGCCAGGCAAGTGCTTGCACTTGGATGCAGTGATCCTGGCAGGAGGCTGGGACAGTCTGCATCCGTATAAAATGGGGATTTCGAGGGTTTGAGGTAAGTAAAGATTTGGGAATGTGGGTGAACAGCCAGGAGATGTCCCCCTCATATACAGAAGGACAAAGAAAAGGAGGAGGGGTGGAGAAATAAGAAAATGTTGTGCTCTAACTTTTATTAATGGATAAATTATTGATATTAATTTACAGATTGATAAATCATTATAATAATATAGATCATGGCTAGGCTTCGCGAACGAAGATTTGGGAAGGGCTCTACCCATTTTTCATGCAAGCGCGTTGGTGGCTAAAAAGGCCAATACGAGAAAGGCAAGTCCGGTTGCAAAAGACACAGCAGAAAGACTCCTTAGATGGTATATTCTGCAAGGTTCGATTCTTTCTGCGTTGTCTTTTCTCCTCAAGAGTGATCCTGCGTGCCTTCTCAAAAGCATCAGCAGCGTTATAAATGGTCTGTCTCCAGGCCTCCCGATTAGAGGCCAGAGTGGACCAGTTATGGTGATCAATATGCCCGAGGCTGAGTTGTTGCTTCAGGGAGTCCTTGTATCTTTTCTTTGGAGCTCCTCTCTTGCGGCAGCCAGTGGCAAGTTCACCATAGAGCAGGATCTTAGGGAGGCGGTGGTCCTTCATCCTAGAGATGTGCCCTGCCCAACGCAGTTGCGTTCTCAGGAGCATGGCCTCAATACTTGTGATTGCTGCCTGTTCGAGAACAGATGTATTGGTCACATAGTCTGACCAATGGATGTTAAGGATTGTACGGAGGCAGCGTTGATGGAAGCGTTCTAGGAGACGCAGGTGGTGGCGGTAGATGACCCATGATTCGGAACCATATAAAAGAGTAGACAGCACTATGGCTCTGTAAACACTGATCTTGGTGCTTTTCTTCAAGTGTTTATTACGCCAAACTCGTTTATGGAGTTTTCCAAAAGCACTGTATGCCTTCGCTAACCTATTGTCTATCTCCCCATCAATCTTACCATCTGAGGAGATGAGGCTGCCTAGGTAATTAAACTGTTGGACTGAATTGAGTTCTGACTGGCCGATGGTGATGTGGGGACGGTGGGGGACTTCCTGAGGTGCAGGCTGATGGAGAACTTCTGTCTTCTTTAAGCTGACTTCCAGCCCAAAGAGCTCAGCAGCATCTGCAAAGCAGGATGTTAAACGCTGCAGAGCTGCTTCTGTGTGGGCAACAAGGGCGGCGTCATCAGCATAGAGCAGCTCCCGGACAAGATGGTTTAGGGTCTTAGTATGGGCCTTCAGTCGCCTTAGGTTGAATAGGCTTCCATCAGTACGATATCGAATGTAGATACCGTCCTGATCATCGAGGTCTGCCGTGGGCCTTGGAGCATCATGCTGAAAAAGACTGTGAATAGGGTAGGAGCGAGAACGCAGCCTTGTTTCACACCATTCTTTATTAGAAAGGGCTCAGAAAGTGTGTTGCCATATCTGACTTGGCCGTGCTGATCCTCATGAAGTGAGATGATCATTTTAAGGAACTTGGGGGGACAACCTAAACGTTCCAAAATCTGCCAAAGACCTTTTCTGCTCACAGTATCGAAAGCCTTGGTGAGGTCGACAAAGGTTACATAGAGACCTTTGTTCTGTTCCCTACACTTCTCTTGCAGTTGTCTGAGAACAAATATCATGTCTGTGGTGCTCCTGTTGGCTCTGAAGCCACACTGACTTTCAGGTAGAATTTCTTCTGCTATAGCGGGTATTAGTCTGTTCAGGAGTATTCTTGCCAAGATTTTGCCAGCAATGGAGAGCAGAGTAATACCACGGTAATTTGAACAGTCTGATTTAGTACCTTTCTTCTTATACAACGTGATGATGACTGCATCACGAAGGTCTGAAGGTAGTTCGCCTAGTTCCCAACAGCGCACCACAAGCTCATGAAATTTAGCATGGAGTGCAAGGCCCCCATGTTTCCAGACTTCAGGTGGAATTCCATCAACCCCAGCTGCCTTGCCGATTTTCACCTGCTGTATGGCCTTGAGGGTTTCTCCTAGAGTGGGGGCAGTATCCAATTCGTATTTCACTGGTTGTTGTGTGATGGACTGAATTGCTGAGTCTTGTACTACACGGTTGGTACTGAAAAGAGTCTGAAAGTGTTCAGACCATCTATTCAGAATGGAGGTTTGATCTGTCAGAAGCGTTTGACCATCTGCACTGAGTAGTGGGCTTTGGACTTGGTATGTAGGCCCGTATGCTGTTTTCAGGGCCTCATAGAATCCTTTGTGATCCCCTGTATCTGCACATAGTTGAGTTTTTGCAGCTAGATCGGTCCACCATTTGTTCTGGATGTCACGGAGTTTCTGTTGGAGCTTGCTGCAAGCAAGACGAAAGGCTGTTTTTCTAGCGTGACAGGAAGGCAGTGCAAGATGTGCTTGGTGAGCAGTTCTCTTCTTCCTCAACAATTCCTGGATTTCTTGATTATTTTCATCAAACCAGTCCTTGTTCTTCTTGAGGGAGAACCCTAAGGATTCTTCAGAGGATTGCAGGATGCTACTTTTAATATGCTGCCAAATTGTTTCGGGAGAGGAAACTGCAGAATCTGTGGAATGGTTATCAAGCTTAGTTTGAAGGTTTGCCTGGAATCTTTCTCTTACTGTGGCTGATTGGAGATCGTATAATAATATAACTATAGTTGTAATAGTCGCAACTATAAATAATAAATAATAATAATTATTCCTATTATTATTTCAATTACATTGGTCACTTGTAGGGCTGTGCCAGCCCCAGGAGGGGCCTGACACCATTTTGGGGTCAATTGCTGTGTTGGCCAGAGCAAAGACAACTTGCAATGTTTTTCTCGTTCTTTGAGCCTATAATGAGGGTACAGATGAAGAGATGTACCTTTCCTTCTTTTTTTTCAACAGAAACAGCCTTCTGGGTTTGGGAGAAGCTGCAGAGGAGGTAAGAGCCACCATCGTCTGAAATGGAGAGAGTTGAAGCAAAGAAAAATAGGAAAAACTCAGGAGAAGCCAGCTGGCTCTCCAGCAGCTGGAATCCAGCGTTAATGGGAATTAAATGTGGCATTAAAGGGTAACTGCTGAGCACGGCAGACATGAGCTGGGCACAGACAGAGGTGGGATTTGCTGCATTTGAAGGAGTTCCCTGCAAATATTTGGTGTTTCCCTTCGTGTATGGGATGGGGTGTGGGTGTGCATCCATCCCATCCGTGGTTTTAAAAGCTCTGCCCTTTGGGAGCCAGGAATGTGGCAGAGCTGTGGGTGTCACACCAGTCCTGGCAGGGCTTCTGCTGTTCACCAGTTTTGTCCCAGTGCCGTGGGGACCATGCTGGACCCTGGGGAGGGGGACACGGGTGTCACCTCCTGCTCCAGAGCCACGGCAAGCAAAGGGACCTCATTCCCTGTATCTAGGAGTGATGTCCTGGGCTGAGGGGGGTCTTTGTCCCTCCCAACCTGCATTTCCCTGGCAGTGGAGGCTGCAGGAGCCTGTCCCTGGCTGCTGCGTTCCCCTTACATCAGCCTGATCCCTGCTGCCTCCCTGCTGCATCCCCCTCATATGTCAGCCTCGTCCCTGCTGCATTCCCGCTGCATCCCTCTCACATGTCAGCCTCATCCCTGCTGCATTCCTGCTGCATCCCTCTCACTTCAGCCTCATCCCTGTTGCATCCCCCTCAGCCAGCCTCGTCCCTGCTGCATTCCTGCTGCATCCCCCTCACTTCAGCCTCATCCCTGCTGCATTCCCCTCACTTCAGCCTCATCCCTGCTGTATCCCCCTCAGCCAGCCTCGTCCCTGCTGCATCCCCGCTGTGCTGGGTGCTGCGCTGCTGCCACCGTGTGAGCAGTCCCCGAGTTTCTACACCCCGTGTCTGTTTATTTAAGGTGTGACTCGCCGCGCTGGTGCACTTTGAACCGGGCACGTTGTTGGGCAGACGCTCACAAGCGCCTTTCCCCCCGCGAGGACTTTAGACCGAGAAAGGTCTAAAATATCCCAGCGCCGTGCCAGGGCACGGGGTGTTGTGTTGGTGGGATGGCTGGGGTACCCCACAGAGGGGGCACCCTGGGACTCCAGCACCCCTTTGCTGGTGTGTAAACCAGCTGTGCTGGTCCTGACACCATCTCTGATGATGTTACAGCCTGAGCCGTGTTTACCTGCCGTGCCACAGCCGTGCACTGGTGGGTAACATGTGGGTCAGGAGTGGGTCATTGAGAGGTCACAGCAAGTAAATAGGGGTGAGTCTGGGAGGTTTCCTGCCTTGGCACTGACTCACCCCATGGCTTTAGCAGGTGATCTCGCCTCCCTGGGCTAGATTTTTGGTGATAAAGAGCTAAACTGGTATACACCAGATAGCTGAATAAATCATCAGGAGGTTGGTGGGGTTTAAGATGGGGTCGGTCACACAGTGTGGGTGATGGTGGTATCTCCCCAAATGCTGGTGTCAAGGGCCACCACTGAGGCTGTTGGTTTATTGCTCGGGATTGCTGAAATTCGGGAACGTGCCTGTCACTAATTCACCCATTTTCAGTGTTTTCCCTGAAGGTGTCTTCTACCGGTGCTGCTTCTTGTGTATGAAGCCAATGCTGGAAGTGCCTTTGAGTCCTTGCCTGCACAGCCCAGGGGATGCCCGAGAGCACCCTTTGATGCAGTTATCCTTTGGGATATCCTGCTCTGCCATTGTCCCTGCAGCAGCCCCTGCCCTCGGCTTCCCACTGCCCCGACCTGACACGGCCACAAACACCTGCAGCAGCACAGACCAAGTGGCTCTGCTCCATCCAGCCGGGACACCAGAGCTGTGATCAGGCCCCATATCCAGGTAGGAAGGTTTCCTTGGAGTTTTATCATCGCTGGTGAGTGATTTCCCAGCATTTCCCCATTCTTGGGCACGAGCCCTCGCTCACCATCTGCTCCTAGTTCTGAAAAGCTACATTAAATGTCTGCTCAGCTTTTTTTAATACCCACCTGCACGACACCACCAGAACTCTCCTCTCCCAGCCCCGTTATCCTCAGATCCTGGATCTCCTATTCCCGAGTCCCTGACCAAGGCGGAGTTTCCCCGATGGGATGCAGCAGCCCCCGGGTCGGCTGCAGGAGGAAGCAGCAGGTTACTGATTATTCTCACTGTTGAACACGGCAGCTTTATTTACGCTGTTTTCCAGGTTGCAGACGTGCGTGCGCTTGAAATGCAGACGGTGACCTGGCACGGTGGTTGGACTGGTTGTACTGGAACCGCCGAGCTCTGCGCCACATCCCGGCCGCCCCGGGGGCCGCCGGCCCCGCTCCTCGCCGGGAGATGCCGGCAGGTCGCACCCTCCCGCCGGGAGCCTGCGGAAATGCCTCCCGAGTGGCTGGTTTTCCTCCTTTTTCCCCACTTGCGTGGCAGGTTCCCAGCCTGCAGCCCCGGCAGGGACTCTAAATTGGGGTGTAGAAACTGAGGCATGAGGAAGAGAGATACCAGTATAGACCAGTGTGTGTGGGCTGGGCTGGGAACTGGGATCTGAGGCAGCCCATCACGGAGCAGGCTGGGATGGACTCTTATCCTGGGGGCAAAGCTGGGGCTCTGCCATGTTCCATTATATATTACATATTTATATATATATATTGTATTTCTGGTGCTAATTAGCTGCTAAGTCTCTCTCTAATCATAGAATCCCAGAATGGTTTCGGTTGGAAGGGACCTTAAATCTCACCCAGTTCCACTCCCTGCCACGGGCAGGGACACCTTCCACTAGCCCAGGTTGCTCCAAGTCCCATCCAACCTGGCCTTGGACACTTCCAGGGATAGGGCAGCCACAACTTCTCTGGGCAACCTGTGCCAGGGCTTCACCACCCTCTTCCTATTCCTTCCTATCTAATCTAGATCTAAATAGATATTCTAACCCTAATCTAGATAGACATCCTTCCTCAACACCCTCTTCCAATTTCTTCCTATCTAATCTAGATCTACCCCTTGTCCTATCACTCCATGACCTTGTAATATAATAATATCTTATAATATACACGTGCAGTCTGGTGGCTCTGCTGACCTGACTCCCAGGGGTGGGCTTTCCCTCTTTCAGGACAAGCCATCCAGCTGCAGGTGTGTCACCCAGAGCAGTGCTTTTGGCTCACTGTTGGAAAGGTTTGGAGGAATCCTGGGATATGGCCGGGCTTTCAGTGGTGACTTTATAATACCTGCTGAGCATTTTTGAGCAGGAAAAAGCAGGGAGAACTGCCAGTGAGCAATTTCTGCCTCCAAGGCAGGGTAATGTGAGCCCCTGGCACCTCTGCACGTACCAGGGCATCAGATGCCCTTCTGAAAGGCCCTTTTGTTACCTGCTGGTGGGTCCAGTGGGGCTTCAGTTTCCCCCCTTGGCATTCCTGTGCTCTGTATCCTGCATATCTGGCTGGATAAACACCCTGGAGAGGTCCCAGCCTGCCCTGGACTGGGCAGGGAGTGTTTGCAAGGGGAGGAGTTGAGCTGCCATAGATAGAAAGGCGAGACCAAGAGATGGATGTGAATGTGTTATCCCCCAGAGGAATGTGTAGAAGGGAAGGGCAGGTGCCTTAGCAGTCATCCAAGGGGGCTGAGCAAGCCCCTCCCACCTTGATCCTGCTCCACTGCCACTGAAAAGCCTATTTCTGGCCAAAATTCAGCTTTGTGGAGTGGGAACCTGAGGAGCCAAGTTATGAATGTCCCCTCTGTGCTCACGGTCTCCAGGGCCTCTCTGCAGGGGGGTGACCTGGCTCGGAGCTCTCCCTGCGCCGGATCGGGGGCAGTCAGTGTGTGAAGTCCGAGTTCCCCCTGCTTTCTTATAGAGAAAATAATTCCCTGTTATGTCTCCTGACTGACAGAGCTGCTTGGGATGACGGGTCTGTGTTTGACACAGGAAGGTGGGGCAGGAGAGGAGGAAATTTGCCTGAAGTGGGGTGAATTTGCCTGAGCCGGTGGCCGAGCCGGAAAATGCAAAACAATCCTTATGAGGGAAAAAAATAAATATGCGGCTATGCTTAATAACTATTTCTTTTTATAGAACAACTCTTGGAATTGCTCTTTGATTAGAGGAGGGAAGGTATCGCTGCCGTGCGCCGGGGCAGGTGAGTCAGTGGAAAATACCGTGGGCTTCAGGAGGGACTGTGCTGGGAGGGAGGGATGCAGGGAAGCAGGGGGGGTTTCCCAAGAATCCTGAACACCGGTGCCCCCGAGGCAGGGCTGTGGTGAGCTGAGTCACGCCAGGAGATGTGACAAGTTTCGTTGGGTTCATGATGGCTTTTGCCTTTGCAAGGACTTGCAGGGCTTAAGGGACAGGAAAAACTGCAGTGTCATCTCTGACTGAATTTGAGTCCTTGGTGGTGTTTATTATTATGGCTGGGTGTGAGAAGGACCTGGAAAAATGCATCCCAGTTGTTGTTGGGATGGCATTTGGGGAGAGGTGACACTCTACATGGCATTAGTTGCAACGGGTTTTGCCAAAGCTCAGGTCTGGTCCCTGCAGTTCAGTCTGGAAACCACAGGACTGTCTGGCTATGAGGACAAGGCACATGGCCAGTAGCCATGGTGAGGGCCATGCCCGGAATGGCTCTTCCTGGCAAGCAGGTGGTTAACTGCAAGTGTTTGTAGAGGGCAGCAGACTGATAAAAAGCACTTTCCAGGCTCCCTGGGAGCACAGGCTTTGTGGGGATGTCAGCTCTGCCGTGGTGAATGGAGTGATGAGCCTGAGCAGTTGAGTTTCTCAAAACTTCTGCACACAGAGTTCGGAACTGATAGAGGAAAGGCTCCACACAAGCTGGTTTCATAATGCAGATGCCTCACAAGCTGGGTTTTGAACTACGGATTAAAAACTAAAACTTTAGTTAGATTTTGGAAAGAAATCCTTCCCTGTGAGGGTGGTGAGGCCCTGGCACAGGTTGCCCAGAGAAGCTGTGGCTGCCCCATCTCTGGAAGTGTCCAAGGCCGGGTTGGACGTAGTTTGGGGCAACCTGCTCTAGTGGAAGGTGTCCCTGCCCAAGGCAGGGGGTGAAACTGGGTGGGCTTTAAGGTTCCTTTCCAACCAATCCATTTTGGGGTTCTATTAAACTGGAGATGGGGGCTGTGATGTTTAGAGCAGGGGCTGCACAGTGCTCCGAGGAGGTGACCCGATCGGCATCCGCAGCTGGGACCCGCACCCGGTTTGGGGGGAGGGGGTCTCCCCGATGGTTTGGAGGGGTCTCCCCGATGGTTTGCGGGTCTCTGCGCTGGTTTGAGGGGGTCTCCTCGCTGCTGCCCCCTCCGCCCTCCCGGTTTCCCGGAACAGAGCCCGGGGAGCGGCGGGGCCGGTCCCGGGAAGCGCCGCCCCGGGAGGGCCGGGCCGGGGAGGGCGGAGCGGCCCCGCACGGACCCTCCGCAGCCGCCGCCGCAGCCGCCGGGAAGGTACGTGGGGCTGGGGGGAGCCGGGAACCGACGGGACCCCCTGGGCCGAGCAGGGACGGGACCGCCGGGCTGGGACCCACGGGAGCGCTGGGAGCCGGGAACGGGGCGGGCTGGGCTCGGTCCCGCCGGGAACGGGGACCGGGAGAGTGACCGGGAGGGCGTCGGAGTCGCGGGCTGGGCTGGGGTAACCTCCAAAGTGCGGGGAACACCGGCAAAGCGGGGGAAACACGCCGCAAAGCGGGGGAAACACGCCACAAAGCGGGAGCAAACACCCCCGAAGCGGGGGAAATCACCCCCGAAGCGGGGGCTGGGCACCGAAGGGTCGGAGCGCCGGGGTTTGGGGAGCAGCGGTGCCTTGGGGTCGCCCCTTGGGGACACGTGGGCTTGGGGCACCTTCCTCGGCCCTTGTGAGCATCTTGGGGTGGCCGTGCTGAGCGTGGGGGGAGGAGCGGCTGCCGTTTTGGGAAGGATCAGCTGGCACTTTAGGGAAGGATCGTTTTGGGAAGGATCAGCGGCAGGGAGGGTGCCAGGTGACCCCCACGCCAAACCCACCAGTGCCCGGCAGCCGGGTCCCGCGGGTGGCAGCCCGGCAGGAGTGTCACGGATCACCAGCCCGCGGCTCGGGTACGTCCGTCCCCGGGAAGCTGCGGGGACCGTGTGTGAGCCAGGAAAGCAAACAAAGCCAAGGAGAAGGAGACCTGCGCAGGGCAGGTCGGGACCGGGCGCCGGTCAGTGGGGGCTCAGCTCTTCCTGTCGTGACATTCCTGCTGAAGAAAGAGCGGCCTGGAGCTTTGAGGGTTCAGCAGACCCACAGGTGTCTCACAAGTGGTTGTCTGCTGACGCTGGTATTTGATTTTTGGAGGTGACGGGGTGGGGATGAGCGTCACTGTGTAGCTGGATTTGTTGGGAAGTGTGGATGTGTGAGCAGAAACCAGCAGTTCCAGGAGTGTGTCCCATGGGAGACGGGCTGCCCTCGCCTCTGCGTAGTGGATGAAGCCTGAGAGAGGTGAAGCTGCACCAAGAGGTGTGGTCCTGGCTTTCCAGCTTAAAGCTCTCCGGAGCAGACCTTGGCCACTGCCTGATGGGATGTGGCCACAGCACATCCCTCTACAGCATATCCAGGCATCCTGCAGCCATCCCACAGCCCTGGGTATCTTGGCATGACAGCCAGAAAGGGAAACCTCCCAGGTGTCAGTGAGGAACATGTGGGTGTGGGGCTGGTGAACCCAACCCTGGACTGAGGTGACTCGGAAGTATGTGACATGCCTTTGATTTTAGCTGTGTAATTACACGGGTGGGAAAACCCTTAGGAAGGCAAGTGCCTGGGGAAGGAGGAATGTTTGGCCACGGGTGCCCTGAAGAGAGCTGAGTGTCGGTGTTCGGCGCCGTGGCGGTGCCATGAGGAGATGCCAGGGGGCCAGGGCTGGGCAGGGCTGTCTGCCTGCACTCCAGCAGGAGTCTGGGAGGAGGGATCCCTCTGGCAGCCAAGGTATGTGTCTGTCTCCCAATGCTGCTCCACACTTTCCTTGTTCCCAGTGTATTTAAGAGGCAGAAACTGGTGTCGAGGCTCTGCGGAAGCAACTGAATATCCTTGTATGAGCAGTGCAGGTGGCATGTAGTGACACAATTCCCAGAAAACCTCCATCCCTATCAAAATACCTGTGCCCACATTGCGGAACACTCCTGCTTTGTGCCTGGCTGCTCTGTGTCCCTTGGCTGCCCGGCCAGCTCCGTGTGCCCTGGCATCACCTCTCGCTCCCTTCCTGCCTTGTGGGCTCCTTAGCCATCCACAACAGGTTTTCTTCGTGGGTCACACTTGTTGGAGAACCTTTTGAAAAAGCGTGGGGAGAGGTGATGCTGTGTTGGGGTAAAAGGTGTTGCTGAAAATCCAGTGTGAGGATGAGGAGGGCGGTGCTGGCGAGGCCGATGGCAGTGTGATGTGTCAGTGTGATGTGTCGGGTTAGTGGCTTTCAGCAAGGGGAGATAAGGATACAGGGGCTGCTGTGGTGTCACAGGAGCTGCTTAGAGCACTCTAGGAGGGCTGTGAGGAAGTGGGAATGCTGGGTTTGGTTCAGAGGGCTTCAAAAGGGCAGATGGACAATGTCTCTGAGTGCTGGAAGGCTCTGGAGGAGAGTGTGTTATCTGGGTGTTCTCTGGCATGGAGATGGGGAGAGGTCCCAGAACAAAAACCCGGGGGAGGCTGTGGAGGAGTGGCTTTATCTCAGAGGAAACAGCAGATTAGGAGAATTTAAAAAAGAAATAAATCCAAGCTCAGAGGTGCACAGTGGTGCCCAAAGGAAAGCAGGAAGGAGAAAGAGTCAAAGTGCTGGGATTTTCCCAGGCAGGCGTGCTTTCCCAGGCCTGGGCACACAGGGAATTCAGCTCTTTGGAGAGAGGTGAGCACCTCAAACCCCCATCCCTGGTTTAGCAGAGCCGTGCCTGGAAGCATTAGGCTGGCACTAGCTCCCAGTGTGAGCCTGGCTCAGGAAAAGCCAGGGGACACTGTTCACACAGTGGCTGGGACACAGCGAGGGCTCGCTGACCTGCTGTGAGCCGGTGCCAGCACAGCCTGGGTGCCCGCAGCAGCATTGTCCCCAGGAATAAATGGCAACGTCCTGAAACACAAACGTAAAAGGACTCTCTGTCCCTGTCCATTACCGCTTTCCAGCAGGCGCCGCTCGGATGGATATAATGGAATTATGGGGAGAAAAGAGTCTGGGAGGCAGTTTCTTATATCTCAGTGGCAAAGGTCAAGGTAATGGCTGCTGCAGAGTCATGATTACAGCTCAGGAGTACGGCTACCGTGGCTTTTGTGATCCCTGCCGCTTCAGAAACCCTTGGCAATTCCCGGAGTTCCGAAGGATGCAGCGCAGGGAGATGCATATGGCTTGGGAATGGTGTCGTGGACACGGGGTGTTTTGTGTGCCCTGTCACTGTGGCTGTGGAGGCCACGGCCAGCCGGGTGGATTGCAGCATCCTGAGCCCCAGGAATGGGCTTTCCCAGCATCCTGAGCCCCAGGAATGGGCTTTCCCAGCATCCTGAGCCCCGGGAATGGGCTTTCCCAGCATCCTGAGCCCCGGGAATGGGCTTTCCCAGCATCCTGAGCCCCGGGAATGGGCTTTCCCGTGACGCCCTTGTTTTGCAGGAAGTGGCAGAGTCAGGGCCCCCCTCCCAGCTCTCTCTGGAGCCGGAGAGGGGGAGAGCCTTTGCCAGGGTTTGAGGGAAGCAGCACTGCTCTCCCAGACTGCGAGGTGCAGCCGAGGAGGGGTTGTTAAAAATGAAACGTAAGGAAAAAAGAGGGTTAAATAGCTCTTAAATGTCTGTAGGGAATGTCGGGAGTGATGGATGTGGATGCATTCTTTTGTGCTCTAGGCAGGAAGTGTAAGCAAAATGTGGAAAAGCCCTGATGGTCTGCAAGGGGCTGCCCCTCCAGGTTTCTATTCCCTGATGGGATGCCCTAAAATGGGCTGGGATTTGTCCAAAAGGTCAGAAATTGGCTAAATCAGCAGTGATGCTGCTTTTCCTGGATTTCTCTGGGTATTCCCCACATTCCTTGGGCTGCATCTGGCAAGAAACATCCCTGTTCCTGGGACAGGTGTAACGGGGGCAGCAAGAAGGGCCAAAAAAAAAAAAGAGAAACTGTGGCAGGGGGTTGGAACAAGATGCTCTTTAAGGTTCCTTCCAACCCAAACCATTCTGGGATCCTGTGAAAATATCATCCATGTCCTGGGTGTCGTTTTTCCAATCCCACATGGAGTTTTGTGCTCCTGGTGGGTTGGGCCCTTGTGTAATGAGGGCCACTGCAGGAACGAGCTCCTGAGGATGTCTCGGGGTCAGCAATTAGCAGGGAAGGGGGTTAATGAGCAGGTTGTCTGGGTGGAAGCATGAGGAAGAAGGTAGAGCCTTGTAATCTAACAGAGAGGAGACTCTGGGATCCTTGGATAGTTAGAGAATGGGTTTGGTTGTGTTTTTTTTTAATTTCCAAACAATTAGTTTTGTTTTTTATGACCAGTGCTGGGGTTGCACCCTGGTTTTGGGAGGCAGCTCCGAGGGGATGTGTTGCTCCATGGAGGTGTGTTGGGAGCCATGCACTGTGCTCCAATGACTCCTCGGGAGCGAGGAAGCCCTGGAGCTCATCCCATGTCTGGTGACTGCATTGGGTTTGACCCGTTCCCTGAAGTGCAGACTCATCTCTTGTGATCCCGTGACAAAGGTGTTGCTGCTGGAGCGTGAGCAGGAAGGTGATGTCATGGGAGGGGGAAAATCCAAAGGTCGTGGAGGGCAGAGGAGCGTGGGTGCTGCTGTGGGCAGCGGAGGGTGTCGGGCTTCCTCGTCAGTCAGCCAGTGGGGCTGGCATTTCTCTGGGAGCACCAGGATATGGGGCACGATCTAGGGCTGACCCCGTTGGGTGGGTCTGTCTCCCATGGAAGGGAAGGTGCTCCCTGCTGCCGCTTCACCTGGGTGCCTGTGCCAAAGCCTTCCGGGCACATCCAGGCGTGGTGGCGTGCAGTGCTGAGAACAGGCTTATCCCGAGCCCTCCTATGCCCAATTAACACTTGGAAATGTCCCAAGAAAAGTCAGGAAGCGTCCCTGGGCTCTGGCAGCCTGCAGGATTTGGGGAGAGGTGTGGGAAGCCCGAAGGAGCTGTGGATGCCCCTCCAGCTTTGAAGCTGCGCCGGTGGAGTTTAATGATTTGGAGATCCTGGTGTAAATCATTGCCAGGGCAGGGCACAGGAGTGTGGGGGACGAGATGGAGGGGGTCTGGCTGCAGGGAGGATCCCATGCTGTGGGCAGAGGGAAGGGGAAGGGGGCTGGAGGGGGCTGGAGCACTCAGGCACTGCTCACCGACCTGCTGGGGACAAACTTTTTAGCAGGACCTGTTGTGAAAGGACAAGGGGAGATGGTTTTAAAGTAAAAGAGGGTTGATTTAGATTGGATATTATGAAGAAATTCTTCCCTGTGAGGGTGGGGAGGCCCTGGCACAGGTTGCCCAGAGAAGCTGTGGCTGCCCCATCTCTGGAAGTGTCCAAGGTCAGGTTGGATGGGGCTTGGAGCAACCTGGGATAGTGGAAGGTGTCCCTGCCCATGGTGGGGGGTGGGACTGGATGCGCTTTAAAGTTCCTTCCCACCCAAACCATTCTGTGACTGAGGGATGAGCATCCAGACAGCTCTGGGGATGCTGGACCCGAGACAGAGGCAGCAGTAGCTCCCTTCTCCAGCTGTGATGTCAGGGCACCAGGATAGCTGTTGGATCAGAGGTAGAAGCAGCTCTGGAAAGCCAGGAGAGCAGCTAATTCAATGGAGATACAGACTGGAATAGCAAGTCTTCTGTTTTAATCTGATTGCTGGGCTGCAGGGTAGCACTGTGAGGCATCTGTGGAAAACTTCCAGGCACAGAGGTGACGTAGGAGCTGAAATCCTGCCACTTCCAGGACTGAGGTGCCTGAGGGAAGCCGCAGAGATTGTGAACAGGCACAGAGGTTTAGACACCACGGGTAAATGCGAGCAGCCCTGTGTGTGTTCTCTGCCCACCGTGGGTGCAGCACAATTTTCCTGCCCCAAGGCCATCACAGCAGTTCTCAAGTGAACTCCTGGCTGGCCCATGTGTTTGTGATGAGGATGGGAGCTCGTCTGGATCAACAGGTAAGGAAAAAAACCCACAGGGCACAAATGGAGAATGAAACCTTTGTGTGGGAGGGCAGAGGCCAGTGCTGGGACCACCAGTCACAGTGTAAGGGCTCGGGTGGGAGGATGGCTCTTGGAATGCTGGTGAGGACATTTCAGATGCAGAGTTTTCCACATCTTCAACAACTGTTCGCTAGAGTGGAATTAAAGCTGGGATCAGGGGATGCCCTCCCTGAGGAGCACCCAGGGCAGCAGCCTGGTGCTGGGGCTGGGCACAGTGCTGAGCTGTGCCGTGGGGAACAACAGGCTTGCCCCATCCTGCCTCCCAGCAACTCCCTTTGGGCAGAGCTCAGCAGCTCCTGTGTGTCCCATAACCCAGGACAAACCACAGGAGCCAAGACTCTGCCCTGCCTGGACCCACACGGGTCTGAGGATGTGTCCAAAGAGTCTGGGACACCCCTCTGGGAGTATCCCCAGCCATGCTGGGCAGTGAGCAGGGAAGTTTCTCTGCAGATTCCTCCTCTCCGGGCTTGTGTGCGTGTCTTTTCCTGCTGGAGCTGGTCTGTTTCCTGGGAGTGCTGCTCTATTCTGTCCCTTGACCCTGCAAACTGGGCGTGCACTCAAGCTAAACAAGCAAACATGCAGCTTTTGAGCTGGAGGGTTGAGCTGGAGGGTGTGTGGGTGAGTGTGGATACAGCACCTACAGCAGCACAGCCCAGGGCGACCTCGAGCCCAAACCAGCGTCCAGAAGCCAGGGAGGGAAGGAGGGATCCCTGGCATGGTCTTGGCACATCCATAAAGCTACGAGGCTTTATGTGGATGTTCTGCTGTGAGGATTCAAGTTGTCACCCATGGGTCACAGCACCCGAGGTCAGGGAGGCGAGTGGGCAGGAGATGTGGCTCCATGAGTTTATATTTAGAAAACGAGCATGTCTGGTTCTGGCAGCTCAGAAAACATCCAGTGGAGGCAGCGGAGGGGGAGTTCCCACCCGTGGCTGGCTGGTCGGGAATGCCAGTGCTCGAACATTCCCATGGGATGCAGCCAGGGCACTCACCACCCGTGTGTGTGTGTTGCTCCAGGGAGGGTGAGCACCGGCCTGAAGTGAGCTCAGGGCCCTACAAGGGTTCACCATCCCGGCAGCCGTTGCTGGCAGCAGCTGGGGGAAGCCACAGGGTCGGGTTGGCTGGGAGAGAGGCAGTTCTGGTTTCTGTTCTCCGGGCAGGAAGGCATCACAGGGCAGGCAGCCAGCGCCGTGAGCAGCCCTGCTCCGTCCCAGTTGTAGGGGAAGGGAGAAGCTGTTCAGCCAGAGATGTGTTTCTGAGCATTTCCGGGTTGGTTTGCATTGACAGGGGCTGTTGAAGTTGATTTGGGTGGCCTTTTTTGGTGCTGTGAAGACCTCAGTTTTCACACCCCTAAGGACGGGCAATCTAAGCCCTTAGCAAACATCAGTAATTTGATTGTTTCCAAAGGTTGGTGATTATCACAGCTGAGAAAGTAGCAAAGGGTGGGGATGGGAATGGCCAGCAAGGATCCAGCTGCCTTGTTATATCCCAACGTGCTCTCCACAGGCACGGCAGCGTGAGATTTCCAGTGTTACATGAATGAAACAATATCATCGTGGCTACTATGGCTGCATAGACTTTGCATTTTGCCGTGGACTAACCATCACTTTCCTTCTCTTCCCAGAGCTCACATCCTGCCCGGGGAGGGCATGTTAGCAGGGCTGCAGCCCCCCTGCCCCGAGCCATGCTGTGAGGAGGGGACAGCCCAGCCATCCAGCAGCAGGAATGATGGCCCAGTCCCGGGCCAACGGCTCTCACTACGCCCTGACAGCCATCGGGCTGGGGATGCTCGTCCTCGGCATCATCATGGCTGTCTGGAACCTCGTCCCGGGCTTCGGCCCCCCCGAAAAACCCGCCACCCCCGCCGGGAACAGCAGCAAACCCGACCGTGGCTCCGGGGGCATCTTGAAGAGCAAGACCTTCTCGGTGGCCTACGTGTTGGTGGGAGCAGGGCTGCTCCTGCTCCTGCTCTCCCTCTGCCTCAACGTCCGGGACAAGAAGAGGCGGAGCGAGGACATCGCCATCGCCCACGTGCAGCGCCAGGTGCCTGCGGAGCCCTCGCAGCAGGAGGACAGGTGGGGTGTTCTGGGGAGAAAGGGAGCGGGAGCGGGGGTAGGAGTGACACCAGGGGCTGTTGTTGCAGCTCGGTGAGGTCTGGATCAAGGAGAGGAAGGCTGGTGGCAGCGTGTGCTGAAATAAGCGAGCACGTGTCGTGGTTTGGGGTTCTGATGTGTCCTGGAGATGGGAAAGGAATGACTCCAGCTGTATTTGTGGAGCTGTGTAGGTGGAAGGGAGCCTTGTGGGTGTATAAAGTGGGGTCTAGACAGAGCTGTGGCCAAGCCAGTGTTGCTGAGATGTGCCACTCCTGGCTGGGTTGGCACATGGGAGTGTGCTGGGAGGGAACACGGGGTGAGTGATGGGTAACACAGAGAGCAGGGTCCTGCCACACGCCGGGAGAGGAGCCAGAGGTGCAGCAGAGGTGCTGTCTCACTGGGTGCAGCCGACGTGCCCAGCAGCCTTGGAGGCTGGCCATGGAGTTTAGACCCGGTGAAAGTCTGCAGGGCTCTGCTGTTTGCTCAGGGATCTGCATCGAGCAGAGCAAAGGCTGCTGCTCCAGGCACAGGCTGGACAAACACTGGTGCAGTTCCCTGTGCAGAGGGAGGCAGGGACAATGTGGGATACAAGGGGGCAGGAGAGGATGATGGCTCTGCTGGCTGTTGTCAGGGTCTGCAGATCCACCCAGAAAACCAATTTTCCCTATTAGATTGAAAAGATAACTTCATAATGCCAAAGAAATGGCAAATGTTGATGTGCAAACCTATGCATAGACGGTGACATAGTGCAGGGCTAAATCTCTTTGCAGAATCTCTTTACCTCAAGGTACCCAACCCAAAAGACATCAGAACAACAAAGGAATATAGATGATATCCCTTTCAAATGTATTTTGACTGGTTTTTGAGAGAGGAGGAGAGAAATTGGTGTTCTTCTGAGGGAATAATTCTCTGCTGGGCAATAGAAAAAGGGTGTGTGGGCAGAGAAAGCGATGATCAAAGATGGGCATGTGACATAAGGAAATAAAATGTGTCTGAACATAAGTGGGGTCATGATTTGTTCTGTCAAGCAAAAAGGGGCTGGTATATAATGCAGAAGGGCAAATAATTAGTTAAGTCTTTGAGGGTGGGGTGGTTTTATTCTTTCCTCCCCATCCCCTACCCACAGCAAAGCTGAAATGATGTTGTACCCACAGCCTGAACTCTTTCCCCTCTAGTCAAGAAGAGGATGAAGACGTGTCTTCCCAGTACTACGTCCCCAGCTACGAGGAGGTGATGAACACGGGCTACTCGGAGCCCAGAGACTCGGACAGGAGCAACAGGCTGAGCGTCTCCCTGCCCTCCTACGAGTCTCTGACGGGGCTGGATGAGAGCAACCAGGCTCCAGGAGCTGCAGGCACGGAGCCAGGCACGGAGAGACAGCCCAGCCGGCACAGCTCCCGCCTCAGCAAGCGCCTGAAGCCGCTGAAGGTCCGGAGGATCAAGTCAGAGAAGCTGCACCTGAAGGACATCAGGCTAAACCTGGACCAGGGGAACAGCACTGTCCCTATCACGATAGAGCCCCTCACCCCTCCGCCCAAGTATGAGGAGATCCAGGAGAAAGCGCCAGTGAGCCAGCAAATGCCTTAAAAGAAGAAAAAAAGAGGGATCTGTGATGCTGCTGGGTTGAGGGTTTTTATAAACCCACCAGGCCAAGAGGGGCTTGGTCTGTGGGTGCAGAAGCAGCCAGGGCTCCCTGGAAGCTGCCACGTGGAGGACGTGATGGGTGTGGTAGCACTGCAGCACAAGGATGGGACACTTTTTCCCTGGGACTGGGTTTTACAAAAGACTGTGGGGAAAGAAGCCTGAGTGCCACAGGTTCTGCTGCTCTGAAGTAAATGAAGGCTGGATGTACCAAAAGTGTCACTTATTGTGTTTGATATAAGACCACCCAATGCATCCTGTAACCTCCTCTGCCTCTCACCTCCAGCAAGACTTTTCCAAGCCACCAAACTGATATTGAAGAAGGATTTTTCCAAGTGGAAAAGCAAAATGTTCCTTTTTTTGGGGGTGTCTTTTCTTTCTGAGGAAGGGAAGGCGCGTTGCCAGAGCAGCACCACGGCTTTCCCACCCTCCCAGCTGGGTTGGGCTGGTGGCCCAGGGCCAGCCCTGACTCCTGCCAAGGTCTCTGCTGGCTGGTGGGAAGCATCTGAAAGGGGCCCCGTGCTCCTCGGGTAGAGGATGGATTTCCTGCCTCAGTTGCTTTCCCTGTTTTGTGTTTTGTGCTCCGTTCGAGGCGAGTGGGTAACTCGGGGGGGGTGGGAGCTGCACCAGTGCCAGGGGTGCAGGGTGAAACCACTGCTGAGCATCCTGTGCGGGCAGACTTGGGCTGAATAAATGTTTTGTACGTTGTGTTTGTGTGTGTGTGTGTGTGTGCACTCGTGGGTGGTTGGTCCTTCCCAAGGTTTATGATCCTTTGGCTGTTGTAAGGGAGATGCTCCATGGGCATCCCAGCCCCACGCTGCCCCCCGGGCTTCCAGCAAAGCCATTGGCCACAAAGGCATCAACACATCCATCCCCAGGCTCCCTTGGATGGTCTGAGAGGGCTGTGGAGGTGGCTTTGTTGGTGTGATGCTGATATTGATGTAATCATAGAACAGTAGAACCATTTAGGGTTGGAAAAGATCTCCCAAGATCATCAAGTCCAACCATTAACCCAGCACTGCCAAGTCCACCACTAAACCATGTCCGTGTTATGGACTGGTCAGCAGAGGTTGACTTGATGCTGTGGTTGATATGAGATGAGTCCAAGTGACCAAAATGAAGGCAAAGATATGCTGGTCCAAATCCATCCAACAGATTTCCCTTGTTAATGGTTATTTCCTATTGCATCTCTTAGTTTCTGTTGTTGCATCACAGGAGTTTCACTTTGCTGTGCCCCAAGGCATCTTCTCAGATGGGCAAAATAACCTCATTAACGAAGGGACTCTCTTACTGAAGAGAAGGAAACAAAGCAGAACATACCCCAGATTGAGGGATGTGGGGCGGGGGGTCCCATGTGGGTCTTGTTGAGGGGATGTAAAGGTGGCGCAGCTCCTTGGAGGTTGTGTCCCAGGCATGTGTGCCCCTGAGAGCCCACTGGGAATGAAGTCCTCTCTCCTTAGTGAAGAAATACAGCCCTAACAGTTGTCCTAGAAAATCTGGGTGAATAAAGTGAAGTTTCTTGTCTGAGCAGATGGAAGGTGAAGTTTTATTGAGCTTCTTTGCCAGAAAATCCCATTTGATGAAATAGACTGGCAAAACCATCATCTTTCCCAGTGTCCCCTGTAGGAAAAGAGCTGAAAGGCTCCCATGAAGTGCAGTGACCACAGTGACACGAGCTGTGACTCATGCAGTAGTTATACCAAAAATGCCCAAATGGCTAATGAGCATCTCTGGCTACTTTCATGCTTGTCCTTTGATGGTATTTGGGAAGCAGAGGGAGATGTGGGATGCTGAGAAGTGCAGGAGCCATGACCATCATTATCCTAGGATGGCTCATCCCTGTGGCACTGTAAGGGAATGGTTATTCCTGAAGGTGAGGGTGATGGAGAAGAGGGTGGAGAGAGCACAGCTGTCTCTTCCATGCACGTCCAACAGCAAATTCATCTTACCCCAACCTCAGGCTGGTTGTCCAAGGTGGACCACACTAGTAGGTGAGAAATCAGGATGTGTTTAACATTTCACTTGTGTCTCAGCATCTCCAGAAGATAACTCACATTCCAGGACAACTCATGAGTTCAGCCTGGAGAAGAGAAGGCTCCAGGGAGACCTTAGAGCATCTTGCAGTACCTAATGGGGGCTCCAAGAGAGCTGCAGAGGGACTTTGCAGAGGGCGTGGAGTGACAGGACGAAAGGGAATGGCTTCAAACTGACAGAGGTTTGCAGAGCTCTTCTTTGCAAAATCTACTGCTTCTGCCTCAAAATTAATGAGATGATTAATTAATTAAATTGATTTTTTTTGTATTAATATGATAAAATCTTGCAGGACTGGAGAGGCCAAACTGGGGGGTGTTAGTTTTTCTGCTGAAAAAGAGTTCCTGACAGCCTGGGACCAAGGAATGTCGATGGAGAAGACCTAATGGGTGACAGCATCCCCATCACCTGGCAGCAACGTTTATCCCCTTGCCTGTGGTTGCACAACGTGTTTGTGTGTGTGTGTGTGCATGATATTAAATTAAAAAAATAAGTCAGATGGGGACTCAAAGGTTCTTTGGCAGCCCTGGCAGGTGGCAGTGAGGTTTGTGATACACATTCCCACGTGTGTCACCAGCTGGCACCGAGAGCCGCGGCCGCGCCGGCGCGGAGCTCTGTTGTGCTGCCAGGCCAGTTGCTTGGAAAAAGGAGAAGGAGGAAAAAAAACTAAACAAAACAAAGAGGAAAAACCTCACCCAGACAGGCAGCAGCGGGCCCCAGCGTGGCCGAGGTTTCCAAGGCTACTGCCAGGCTGCAGCAGCACTGCTGGCTGGGACAGAGCCGCTTTTGGGGTCATTTCGTACAGTTTTTAGTGTTTGAGTTGTTTGGGCCCCTCGTGGCTCAGGTTGTATGTTGGGTTGAGGGGTTGCTGAGTGAGGAGTTGGGATTTTTTGGGGAAGCCTTGCAGGTTTGGGGGCTGGGCAATGAGAGCCTTTCTAAAGAGCTCGGAGGGGTGTTTCCAGCTGAAACCCCGCACCACGACCATCGGGAGCCACAGAGGGGCCGACATCGTCCTGCAGGTAGGGGCGGGGCAGCCGATCATCCTAAAACAGAGGGTGGTTTGCATGCAGGGAGGAGGACGTGCTGGAGTCCTCCATGCAAAGTGTGGTGGGATTTATGACCAGAAAAGGGGGCTTGGCAAAGCAGGGACAAACCTGGAGCCACCTCCAGCAGCGTTCCCTGCCTGCCCATTGCCCGCCCCCAGTCCGCAGGTGTAGCAGATCGTCACGCAGCCCTGGAATTCTCTGCCTTGGACAACAGCTTCATCCTTCAGGACTTCAACTCCCCCCAGGGCACCTTTGTCAACAGCTGCCAGGTCCAGAATGCGGCCGTGGGGGTGAGGCCAGGGGACATCCTGCGCTTCGGCACCGCGGGAGCTGCCTTCGAGCTGGTGCTGGATGGGGCTGCCCAGGTGAGGCCGGGTGGGGCTGCCCTGGGAAGGGTGCCCAGGGAGGGATGGGGTGCTTGCTGATACTAGGGAAGGGTGCCCAGGGAGGGATGGGGTGCTTGCTGATCCCAGGGAAGGGTGCCCAGGGAAGTGTGGATGGGTTCTACTGCCCAAGGAAAGGTGCCCAGGAAAGGATGGGGTTCTCCTGCCCTGGGAAGGATGGGGTGCTTGCTGATCCCAGGGAAGAGTGCCCGTGGAAGGGTGAGTTGTTCTGCCCAGGGAAAGATGCCCAGAGAAGAATGGGTGGAACTGCCCAGGGAAGGGTATCTTGAGGAAGGATGGTGTGCTGATCCCAGGGAAAGGCGTGTGGGTTTTACTGCCCAAGGAAAGGTGCCCAGGGAAGGGTGGATGCTATTGCCCCTGGAAGGATGCCCAGGGAAGGGTGGATGGGGATGTCCAGGGAAAGTTGCCAAGGAAAGGTGGGTGGGTGCTGCTGCCCGGGGAAGGCTCCGGGAGCAGGAACAGGCTCCCAGGTCTGGGCGACCCTGAGGAAAGGCGAGGGGGGGAAATGAAAAGCTGGAGCTCCCTCTGCTGAAGAAACTCTGGCGGTTCGGTAGGGAAATGGAAAATGACGGGACAACCGTGAGAGAAGGTAGATCTGGAAAATGTGCTTTTCCTCTATTTGCGTTTTATGTTTCTTCCCAAGCCACTTACTAAGAGGGAGGTTGTGTTTTACATCAAACCTAGAGCAACTGATAACTTCCAGTATCATTTTTATTATTGTGGCTCTTGAAGAATCCAAGATGCTGGTGAGGTAATGCCAGACCCTGCTGGAGCAGTGAGCAGCTGAACTCCCAAAGGCAGGATGCACACAGAGAAGCGGGTTTGCACAGCAATGCAGGGGATGCCTGTGGGGTGCCTATTCCTTACTCCGGGCTCTCTGATCCTCCTTTGGAGGAGCAGCTTTGAAGCCTGACCCTGCTGACTGCAGGGAAGGAACCACCTCGGAGTTGCACCCTGTGAGGTGTCTGACAGAGGGAGGGATCGCTGCTCTCGAGTCTTAGAGGAACATGTTGTACAGAGGAGCAGCACCCGGCTGGGAATTGCATCCTGCCGTGCCTCGAAACGCAGGATAAGGGCCAAGACAGGGACAGTGGAAGGCTTTGGTGGAATCCTGCTGTGAGCAAGAGCCATGGGTAGCAGCATGAGCAAAAGCAAGAGGAGAAGGGAAGGTGCTGGAGAGGCAGGGGGCATTCCCTGGGGGTTTGGGCTCTGTTAACACCCAGATGTTGGAGGGCCCACATCCAGGCCAGGTCTGACGCTGTGCTGGCAGATGTTTAGTGCAGCCCCTCTAATTGAGACCTTGACAGTGGCTTGTCCTCATCATACTGGAAAGCTCAGGAGAACAGCAGTGTCCTAATTCTGGGTCTGACATGCCCAGCATAAGGTCTGATAAATGTGATGGGAAGGCAGGAGCACGACGAGAGGCTTTGGTTCAGTGGGGTGAATGGCAGAAACGATGAGGTAGGACTATGTGTGAGCCAGGAGAGCTGTGAAAGGAGCATCTCTAGATCGTGCAAATGATGTGCAGAATTAGGGCAGAGATGGAGAGGGAAAAGCTCAAAAAGCAGCAAACCTCAGTGATTTCCTTCTGCTTCAGCAAAGAGTCTGAATGCCCTGATTAAAATGTGATCCTTGGGCAATGGAAATGGGAAAGGACTGAACCCATGCTTCCACTGACATCTGTGCCTGGGTTTTGTGTGGCATGGTGCACATGAATCCAGGGCTAAAATCCTTGCTGATAACACAGTCTTTTCCCATTGTAGATATCCTGTCCCCCCTTGAAACGTCGCACAGGGTGGACGGGGCAGCTCCAGGTGGTTGCAGAGCCCAAACCCTCAGCTCCCGTGTCTCCTCCCCACCTGCCCTCACTGCAGTGGCAGCATCCCCCTGGCTCTCCAGGCAGTGGGACTCCTGGAGCCCCCGGCCACCAGCCCCATCCACCTCTGCTGAGGAGACCCCTGAGCGCCTGGGACAGGAGCGTGGCCAGCACTGCCTCTCTGGACACCTTCAGCAGGACCTCTGCGGTGAGGCCGGGTAATCCACGACCCCAAACCCAAACATTTGTATGCTGGGGTCCTCACAGAGCAACCTGGTGCTGAGTGGAGTTGATTGGAGTGGGGAAGTGACGAGTGTTGAGCAACCAGCTGTGAGTCCATGTCCAGTGGAGCTGATCAGAGGCTGTGTGTGGTCCTGGGTGGCATTTGGGTCAGGGAAGAAATGAGCTGTG